TTTGAAAAACACAAATGAAATGAGGATCTGGACCAAACAAGTATTTAGGAGAAGAGCATTTCACGTAGAGGAATCATTAAGCATAAGGGCTCTGAGGCACAAGCAGGCCTAACTGTATTAATACAAAGAAGCCACTGCAGCTACAGTTCAGAGAGAGAGAGAGAGAGAGGATCAGAGAGGTAGCCAAGGGCCAGATCGTTTCTTAGAGATCACAGCAAGGACTTTGGCTTTTTTTTTTGGAAGCATTATGAAACTTTGCGCAGAGGAGGAACAGGAGTGATGCATCTTAAAAGAATCACTCTACTCTGCCTGCAGTGTGGAGAATAGACTTTAGGGAGGGCATGAGCGGAAGCTGGGAGACTAGTAGGTGAAAAAATGATAAAGGCTTGGACAAGGGTAGTAGTACTAGAGGTGGTGAGAAGCAATTAGATTCAGGATAAAATCTCCTCCTGCTGAGGAGTCAGGGTTTTGGGCCTTCGTAACTAGGAGAGTGAAAATGCCATTTACTGAGATAGGGAACAGTTTGGCACTGAGGGACATTAAGTGTTGGACCTGATTAAGTTTGCAATGCCTGTTTGATCAAGTAGAGCTCTTGAGTAAATAATAGGATGTATGAGTCTGGAGCTTAGTGAAAGTTTGGGGCTTAAGTTAAAAATTTGGGATATGAGAAAAAAAAAAGGAAAAAAAATTGGTGCCAGCGTTTCTACTGAAAAAAAAAATAGGGATATGATCTATTTTATTTTAGAAGAAACTCTAAAACTATAATTAACAGAGCATTACTTTTATTGCAGACAAAACCATATGCCATCGTTGAAAGGAAGCCCAGAATATTCCCAGTAAGTCTTAAAACATCTCTGGTTTTTCTTCTGTTTATTATATTTCTCTTTCCTTTCCCAACTGATCATTAGACTAAAATTTTCCTTTCTTCTCACTGAAAGTTTAAATGCCTGTTTTGTATATTCTTAAAAAAAAAAAAGAGGAGGAAATAATGTGAGGTAGCAATTACAGTTGAACCTGGGATGTGGGCACATTTCTTTTCATCCTGGCTGTAAAGCTTGTGCGACCTTTGTAGTCCTAAAGTGAATTGAAGGTACGAACAGTTTTTCACTGGTTCCATTTCACGTAGGGTTAAGGACTTAGGGCACTAGCCTGAGCAGACACCTGAGCATTGTAACAGCAACTATATTCCTCTGTTATTTTTTCCACACTATCATTTCCTATGGCAGTTTGACCGTAACGTCTCCATCTGTAAGTTTATAATCTGTCAATGTGTGCTTTAAATTTTATGTTATGAATATGTAGGCTATTATCCTAATTTAAAATAAGTCTTCATCATTAAAAGATTACTTATTAGTCCGTTGGTATCTTACTAGCTGTTTGTGAGGTTATTGTTTAGCAGAGTCAAATACATGTTATGTTCTTGTTCCATTTCTAGTCACAGATAATGAACTACCATCAAGCTCTAAGTTATGTAATTTTAGAAAACAAAACTTGATGTAGATTCTTGCTTCTATCAAATGACATGGTCACAATAATCCACTGACGACTGCAACAGAAGGGAATTTTAGGGAGAACTACCAAAATTGGCTAACTCTTCCAATTGGAATTCTGCTTTAGGAAATAGTAGGGGATTTCTTGTGTATTTCATTGTGTATAATTGATGTGTGTCAGGGCCTAGGTAGGCTCAATTATCTTGTTGGTTTCAACAAGTTAGGTAATTTATTTATTCTTCCATTTATACATTTGTTTATTGTTTATTTTGCCATTACTGTTCAAAGGAAAAGAAGGAGGACTCTCTTTAGAAGACCATATAGTGATTCCATAGCATCTCTTCTACTTCCGTATTTTTTGCCACTGTGGTTCTTTCCTGTTTCTGTATCATTGAGAAGCTGCCCCTTTGAAGACCTGAAGAATGCTCATCTGTACATACCTTAGAATAGGATAGACAGTAACAAACAAACCCCCAAATCTCAGTGGTTTAACAAAAGTTTTTCTATTGACATCACAGACTAGCATAGGTCAGACAATTATAGTGAGGCCATTGGGACTATGAGGCTCCAAGATCATAGGGAAAGAGAGGGCTGGATGTCTCAGGGGATGATTTTAAGGTCTAAGCTTGGAAGTAGCTTACATCACTTCTCTTCATGTCCTGTCGGCCAGAACTCATTCTCATGATCCCACGTCTTTGTGCTTTTTTATGTTTCTCAGCCTCCCATACCTGGAGTCTCTGCCACAGTGTATCCTTCTAGTCAACAAATAGCTCTTTGCTTCCTTCTTCCCACACATGTAACACAAGTCCCTTTCCTAGGGAGAAACCCCAAGGTCCCATTACATCACTGCAACCTAAGATCTTCAGATGATGTATAATATCCATCAGGGTTATTCTTGGAGATTCTTCTCTTGGAGATTTGAGGATCAATGGCAAGTAAACTGTATCCCTTGCCTCCCAACCGTGCCCGTTATTCAACGATGGAATTTGGACAGCATAGCAGTCACTTGGCTCTGAAACCCCAGTGGTCAAACACTGTAAAGCCTCCTAACCCCTGTGTGTGGGAAGTTCCTTGAACAGGAACTGATGTTGCTTCTGGAAGGAACACCTTTGTTCATTGTTCTTCCTGGCCCCTGGCTCAGTCTAGGGGGATTCTTTCTTTTCCATTATCAACCTAGACCACATCTAAAATGAGTACTGGGAAGTATGCCCTCCTTAGGGTTGTACAGCCTTTAAAATCTACCTTCTGCTCACAGAAGGTTGAGGGCCACAGGTTGTTTTAATCAGAAACAGTCATAGGCTTTTATTGTCTGTATGTTTGGTTTCTTTGACCATCTAGTTCTCACATTTGGCAGGCATGGAAAGAAAAATACTTGGTAGGAGTCTAATCTTTTTGCTTCTAGTCAGTCCCACATGCCAGTATCTGTGGTTTCTATACATAGTTATCAAGTTGTCTCATTTCTTTGTCCTTATTCTACTGCCTCTCTCAACTCAGTTGAGAGGCAGCTATGTGGAAGCCACCAGAAACACACACTAGTTCAAGGGCTACCTTTGTTTCAGTCTGATCTTTGCCACGGTGCTGGGTCCCTCTGTTTACTGAGTTTTATTGGGCTTCTGTTTCTCAGAATCTTTTCAGTGTTGTTACTGTTTAGAGATTCAGAAACAATCAATCTGATTTTCTAATATTGCAAGGTCCCGAATTTTTAGATTCTTATTTTTATTTCTCCTCTCAAATCAGCCACTTCTTACCTGAGCTTATGTTTCTTAAAATACATTACTAAGGCAGCCACTAGTAGTTAAACACATACTATAATGTTTTTTCAGGTACTTCTAGAACCTCAAGTTCATTAGACAGTCTGCTTCTAAGTTATTAGTGCCTTTTGTTTCCATCTTATAGCCTCCAATGCCAGTGTCCTTGTAGCCCCACTGCTAAGCCAGTGCCATGTGGTTCAATTTTTATTACAGCAGCATTAGTACCACTTCAAGTTATTAATTTCTGTGTTAGGGTAATGCTAGCTGTGGTAACAAGTTTTCCCCCAAGTATATAATGGCTTAAACATAATTCAAATTTATACAGTACTGAGCCATACCAGGTCAAGGAATGGTAGGTGGTGATGGGGATAATTCTACTCTACTAAGTCAACTCATGGACTATCAGGCTGATGGAACCTGCTGTCTTAAACAGAGAGCTGAAATTAAAGCTAAGTACTTTGCCTAAGATTATACAGCTTGTCAGTGGAGGGTTTCAGGATTCACAGTACTTGGTTCTGGCTTTAAAGTCCATGCCCATTCTGCCATACACACTGCAACTAGGTTTGGAAAGACACCCGAACCAGCTGCCCAAGGAAAGTTTGCATTCTGTTTCTAATATCCATTCTGAGCCAAACGGTAAACTGGTGACTGCCTAACACATTCAGTTGCTGGGAATACATTACCGCCTTATATTGAAGATGTTTACCTGCAGCTTTCTAGGGCTTCTATTTCTTGGGGCCAAGCAAATAAATATTATCCTTTTATCACTTTGTAAAGACAACTTTCATGTCCTTTCTAGTCATTTTTGAGTGAAACTTCCCCTATTCTCTCCCTTATACCTTAAGATTTTGAATACTGGTTGCTCATCTTTAGACAGCTTCTATTTTGCCTCTGTCCCTTTAAAGTGTGAATGCCAGAAGTGAACTAGATTTTCCAGATGACCAAATGGAACTGACCAAATGGAACTATCACCTCTGCAGACAAGATTTTTCACTAATGCATCTTTGTTTTTCTAGGGTGATACAATTCTGGAAACTGGAGAAGTAATCCCACCAATGAAAGAATTTCCTGATCAACATCACTGAAGATTACTTTTAAAATTTCAAAGATGTTTGAGCCCAAGTTTGTTGCTACATTACCACACTTACTGAATATATTTTCTGGAAAAGTAACTTTAATAAAGTTTACTCAGATATGTGTTGTCTGTTTCTTCCCAAACTGTATGATTCCCTCTGTACAATTTGAGACTCTATGACTTATCTAACAATAAGTAAAAACTGGACATGCTAAAAAAATGGTATGGGCAATCACCTACTTTTTCTGGCCATTTTTAATTTGGAAAACAGCATGTAGAAAATTATTTAGTCACATGATAGTTTTTTTCTTAAACAGTACTTAATCTACTGTGATGTGAAGGTATACAATGTAATGAAATGTTGCAGTAAACAAATAAAAGAACAGAAGTTCCACACACTTTTAAAGGCTTTCTGAAGCATTTCAAAAGAAGTATTTTAGAAACTTTAGATTAAAAGGCCTAGATGTAGGTTGCTTTGTTATGTGGGAACATAAAAGACAAATCTCTAAGTATATGAAAAAGTAGCATATTAGTGGTTATTATAAGGGACAGTATACAAAAATGAATTTCTAAGCATTTTATTAAAGATTTTACTTTAAATCGAGACACGTGTCAGATAAGCATGAGGTAAAGAATTGTATATGCATGGAATCAAATCCAGAGGAATTACAAATTTTCATTCATCCCGAAGATTTTGGGTATTTCTTCCTTAGCTGTCGTCGTGCAGCTACAGTTGATGCATAGATGACGTATCCCCAGGAGAGCAATACGACCGCGAGGAGCAACTAAGAAATGCAAGAGGAGGAGTAAAAGCAAAAACATGTGAGTGGCACTTCCTCCTCCCCCCCATCAAGTTGGTGGGAATTTTAGTGACAAACTCGTATAAATGTGGTTCCGGAAGCGAGTACACCAAGCCGCTCTTACGTAAGAAGCGGAAGAGCGTGTCCTCCCGGAAGAGGCGGAGTCGAGGTGAGGGAGTGAAAGGCTTAATTCAGCAATGGATTTTGGAGTTTCTGGGCGCTGAAAAAATAGCGGGCTTTCACCCGCGGGCCCCAGGAGTCGACTCCGTGGAGCCCCTCCAGGCCCGGGACCTACCGCTGAATAAATTCGGTCCAGGGTGCGGCGACTCACTGGCTTCATGGTAAGGAGACGGCGGTGGTCCGCGGGCACGGGCGGAAGCCGCAGGCCCTAGAGTAACCTCCGGGGCGGTGGCTGCCGGGCGGCGGCGGCCATCTTTCAGCCGGGCGCGAGTGCCCGCCCACTCGCCTTCCGGTGCGTTTCCCCTCGGCTGGGCCGGCCTCTTCCGCCCGGAGCTGTGGGCGGTGTCACGTGACCCTGGGCCAAGCCCGCCTTTCGGGAAGGAGGTGAGAGGAACGACAAAGTATGTTGGAAGTGTTTTTTGCCACTTAGAAGGATAGGCTTGACTCGTCAGCCCGTCTTACTTCAGTTCCAGAGCAGTATTAATACGAGATAAGGTACCGTCGTGTGCATTTAAAAGTTTATTTGGAAAAATAATCCACGTTTTAAATGCTACGCCGACGCCTCGTGCTCAAAGAATTAATGTTTCCTCCCGGATCTGTTCCCACAATGTAGGTAGTTCGTGTATTCATCTTTGATGTAAACAAGAATACCACCCGCTTTTATATAACTGACGAATCGTTGTGGGAATCCCTGTTAATTGAGCTTTTCTTCAAGAAACAAGTCTTTGAGAACGCAATGGCTTGTTGATGTCAGTGATACTCTGAAGAAGAAATAACGTGGCATGAATTACTCGGCAGAATGTAGCTGCCAATCAACAAGTATTTATTGAACGTTTGTATGCTTAGGACGGTAGCACGATCAAATATTAAACCGAAGGACAGAGTTTGGCACGCGGAGCCAAGTTCAGCCCTGGAATGTTCGGGATACTCACATTTGAGGCGAAGAATGGGGCAGAGGGCCGCTTTAAGCACCAGACGTTATGTCTCTATAATCTCAGCTGTCGCCTAAGCAGAGTTTTAATGCAGATTTCGGAGAGTGGGGAAGGGTAAAAACGTTATCTGTTTTGGGAAGATTTCAAGGCCCTGTTCTCTTAGGTTGAATTCCTGTTTATCCCTGTACTGGAGTTGATCTGTCTCTGAAAACTGTAGGCCTCTGACTTGGGTATTGCATTCGAATCCCGGTGTTGTTTCCTAACTCTGCAGCCGGAGGTAGTCCCTTAACCTCCGGGTAACTCAGTTCCTTTATACACCAGATACAGCTTTAGAAACTTCTCACAGAGTTTGGTGAGGTTTAAATGAGACCAAGCTAGTTATCGTGTCTTCCGGGTAAATTAGAAGCGAACTTTAAACTAGTGCCCCTGTAATCCCCAGAGATTAGTAGCAACCAGAGTGACGGTAAAATAGTGATTTCTGCCTCGGTGGGTCAGGCCTCTCTCATTCCAGGAGCGGAGGAGGTTGGGGGAAGGGCCGGGCTCGGGCCGAGCGCGCTAAGCCCCGCCTTCGGTGCCGGCGTCCTCTACCGCGCATGCGTTACGCAGGCGGGTGCTGTGTTTTGACTTGCTGGGGGTCGCGGAGTGGGTTTCGCTTTCTGCCACCGCTTTCTGCCACCACCCCCAAGCAACCATTGGTGATGAGCTCTTTACGTCGCAGGGGTCGCAGCAGCCGCCGGGGTCTCCGCTCTCTCGCGAGGAGGGTGAAGCGCCCCTGCCTACTCCCGCTCCTGAGGGCCGGCGGAGAAGTCGCCGGGTTCGCCTTCGCGGGTCCTGCCGTCACCGACCCAGCTTTCTGGGCCGTCGGGAGCTTGCCACGAGCTCCCCAGCCGGGCCTGCGCCGGTATCCTCCGAGGTGAGTGAGATCGGGAACAATGGGGCGCCGGGGTCGGAAGGGCTGGGCGATCTGGAGCTCCCCGCCTGCAGCTAGGCCCAGGGTCGAGGGAGCTGCGGTCCGGGCCTGAGGCGCAGTGGCTGCCCGGCAGGCCGGCGTCCCGGCGGCTCCCGCCGCGCACCTGTGGATCCGTGCCGGTGGGCGGGGGAGGGCTGCTTTCCGAGAAGCACTCCCGAGGGCGCCAGCCCAGCTGTGTACTGGAAGGAGATTGGTCTCCGGGGGAAAAAGCCGACACAAAGCACAAAACGTTAGAGTCTGAGTCGTGGCATCGCCGCTGTCAGAGATGTGACCTTGGGCGGGCCCCTAACCTTACTATGTCTGTAAAACGGGAGTAACGGTATTTTAGTTCGTTGTGATTATGTAAGGCACGCGGTGCTTATCTTAGATCCTGGCAGGTGGCAGTTCTCAACCAAAGGAAGTGACTGTCGCCGTGACTGTTGGAGTTTGTGCACTGTTTACACCCCGTGAGCCTGTGACTTCTTCATCCATCAAGTCAGCGCCGCTTTCCTCACGGGCTGCTGATTGGTAGACTGGAAGGGGGCAGTACTGAGATGAGGCAAATAGTGATTTGAGAGGAAAAGTGAATAGAATTTTTGGTAGGTAATTTTAAAGATTGTTTAAGATAAATTCAGAAAGAGTTACCGAAGATTTAAGTTAATAGTGGTGAGGGTTGGGCTTTTTAGCTTGTTTTTAGTCAGTGACTTTGAAAGCTACAGAGTCAGCCAAAGCAGTCATGCTTATCTGGAATGAGTGGCTTTAGAGGGGAATGGTTCCCAAGCAATTCTTTTTATTGCTGAAACTGGAATTAAAATCGTAGGGTCTGGTCAGTATTTAAGTTTTCTAGGGTCTGGTTAGTAGATCCTATAACTTCTGTTTGATTTCTTGGAATTGGTGATTAGATTGCAGTTCAGAGACATACATGATTTCTTTAAGGTCACAAAAGATTGGGCCCCAATTGTTTTTAATATTTGGTATATTTCTAGTTCATCCACTTGTGAACCCTTTTTAGCCACTTTGCTTGGATATATTAAGTACAATATTGATATTAATATGAAAATTATTTAGTTGTTATAGACTGTCATCTTTCTGGGCATTTTATAATCAGTTATGGATGATGGAAATGATCAAAATTAACTTTATTTTCACATAACATAGGAAAACAGTATTAAGTTCTTACTGCCCACCAAGCACTTTGCTACGGGTTTATGTGGAATATATCCCTTCACACAGGCACCTTTTCAGGTGAGTACTGTTACTCAGCCTGTTTTAGAATTGAGAAAATGTAAGATTTTGTGAAATAAAATAACTTCCTCAAGATCACGCCATTAGTAAGTGGTTTTGATTCTCAGCCCTGGCTCTACATTAGAATTAACATCACTCCGTCAGTGTAATCAGCCAGTGATGAAATTGTATATACAGTGATAATTTCAGGAATGCCGTAGAAGATGACTTTTATAGGAAGTCTGGTTTTATTAAATATTTAATTCTGCAGAGCATTCCTACTTTGTATCCCTGTGCAGTTTTTTAAATGTCCGGTTTGTGGTCTAATTTAGATTCTAGCCTCCCGACTCTTTATCACCCTCCACCTGTCCACCCCACCCCCATCCCTTTTCCCTAGATATGTATGCTCGTTGATTATCTGAAATTTCCCCCAACATGTGATATGGAGGGTTCTTATCCCTGTTAAAGCCAACACATTTGAAGATTTGGGGAAGGGAAGGTTTTGCTTAATCAATTTATTCTAAAGATGGTAAACTTTATTTAGAATTTGGGAGGCAGTTAAAGAAAGGGGTTCAGAAGAACTGATTAACTTATCCCCTATGGGGAAATTAATTTGAAGTCCTAATTCCTAGAGTGCTCGGATAGAGAAACTTTTTTTTTTTTTTATTGCGGTACGCGGGCCTCTCACTGTTGTGGCCTCTCCCATTGCGGAGCACGGGCTCTGGACGCGCAGGCTCAGTGGCCATGGCTCACAGGCCTAGCCGCTCCGCGGCATGTGGGACCTTCCTGGACCGGGGCACGAACCCGTGTCCCCTGCATCGGCAGGCGGACTCTCAACCACTGCGCCACCAGGGAAGCCCGGGATAGAGAAACTTTTATCACAGGCTTCTTCTAGAACCTGAAGCACTAAATCTATCATCAGGTCCACCTTTGCTACCTGACCCAGAACTCTCCCGCAGACCTCAAATCTTAAATCTGTCTGCTAGCCATCCCTGTTCTATGCCTTAATTTGTATTTTTGAAACAGTTTTGTTGAGATATAATTTATATTTCATCCATAAAGTTCACTTCTTTAAAATATAAAATACAGTGGTGTTTAGTGTATTTATGGAGTATATTTGTGCAACTCTAATTGAACATTTTCATCATCCTAGAAAGAAACCTCATACCCCTGCCCCCCGCGACCACCAGTCTGCTTTCTGTCCATTTGCCTATTCTGTAAATTTCCTATAAAATAGCATACAACATGTGATCTTTTGTGATTGATGTTTTTTCATTTAGCATAATGAAAAAACTCATCCATGTTGTAGCATGTGTCAGTACTTTATTCCTTTTTATTGTCAAATATTCCATTGTATGGAGATTCCATATTCATCAGTTGATGGGCATTTGGGTTATTTCCACTTTTAAGCTCTTAGGACAAAGACTGCTATGACTTCACTAACAAGTTTTTGTGTGGGCATGTTTTTGTTTCTCTTGCATGGATAGGTGTGGAGTTGCTGGGTCATGTGGTAATTCTACTTCATTTGAATTAGCAAATACTTTAATTTTAGTATTTAGTGATGATTTTGAAAGAGTAAATCCTTTATATGATGATTTATATTCATTGCCATTGTTTGGTGTTTCCGATGAATACCATTCTTTGTACCGGAAGATATTCCTGTATAGAAATACAAAACAGGACTAATAATTTGTTCTTTTTTACCTACTATAGATGATGTTACTCATCATTCTTTAGACTGCTGCTGTCAATTTGGTTAACAGACTTATAAAACTAGGGAAGGGAGGACTAAAATTCCATTTAAAAAATTATAATTAGTTGAGATTTTGTTTTATTTGAACTTCAAGTTATTACCAAATAATTTTTTTTAATGAATGCATTCTGGGTTGTAATTTTTATGTGAACTGGAAATGTTTAGTAAACACTAAAATTCTGTATTCCAAAGAAACAAATTAAGATAAAATGTATTAACTTGAATTTCACCAGTCTTTTTTAAATTCTAATTATCCCTTTTTTATATAGAAGAGCAAACTAAAGTCCAGAGTTAATGTGGATTTCTCCAGTTGATGGAGTTAGTTTTAGGTGAAACCTGGTCTACAATCCAGATCTGATAATCCCTCCAGTGCCCTGTTCACTCTTCACTCCTTCCCCTAATGCACATGCACAGTCTCTTATCCT